CTATAGGGAACTAATAAGTGTAAATTGTATATTATTTTATTATGGTAAATATAATAAAAATATGTTATTGAGTTGTGTTTATACAGAAATTGTGAAGGAATATACTAAATTTACAAGTGTTGTGTAGCTTTACATTACCGACAAAATTCTGCCGCAACGCCGTATTGATAAACACGAAAGTGTCGATTTTAAAGTAGTGGCACCGACCTTCTCTATTTGCAAACACCATGGCATCGTAGTCATCAGTGCAGCAGTGCAACACAGTGTGTTGCATAAGCGTCATATTATTGGGTGTCTTAGAAAAATTTATGCATAAGCAATACACTTTCTAATGTTGTGTTGCCAAAAAGCAGTTCTAAGAGTTTTAGAGTTCCATTTTTGCAGTGCCAAAGTAGAGACGTTATGATGCAACCAGAAGTCCTCAAAACAAGTAGGAGACCCTTGGTGTAAAGGCCATTTTTCTCCCAGGATCGTCCGGGACGAAGTTGGATTGTCCCAGGACGATCGGTACAGGTTGTGTTGGAATTGTGGAAACTGAGCAGTTCGTCTGGACGAAATCTGGATCGTCTGGACGAAAATTCTCCAGAGCCAAGTCGACAGGGACGTTAATTAATCTCGTCTGAACGAAAATTCTCCCGAGCCAGATCGTCCCGGGATGAAGTTGCGATCGTCCAGGACGATCAGTCTGGATATATATAGAAATGAGATATTTTTAAAAAAGAAAAGGACGTCAGGAGAGAGAAAAACGAAGGAAAAAGAGATTTTTGGGCGACTCCGGTCCGTTTTCGTCCGTTGCTGTAGTTAAAGAAGTTGACCGACTCGAGGTAAGGCACATTCCGCCTTTCTCAATTTTCAGAAATGAAATTTTTGACGTGTTTTCTGTTCCGAAAATTGTTTCCGTTAGCGAAATTCGTGTGTTATTTTCTACTGCTTAAGGTTTTACCGCGTAACTTTTGGTATGTCTTTGAGATGTTAATGATGCACGTTTTGAGTATTTTCTGGAAGATTTTTACTGGATATTTTGGAATCTGCGGTGATTTAAGCGAACTGCAAATTATCAGGATGTTGAAAAATATTTTGTCAGTACAATGAAAGTCTTACAATGTTGTTGTGAATGTTTTGTGTTAATTTGGTAAATTTTTGAATCTGTGAGTTTTGTGTAAATTCCGTATACTGCCGTTATGATGCTGAATTTTCGTACGATTTCTGAAATTTCCGAAATAAGATGATTTGAATATTTGATGTGTATGTGCTATGAAAAAGGGAGTTATAAGGGGCCAGAATCCGTCGAGATTCTGTTGCCATGGAATGGAGTTATAAGGGGCCAGAATCCGTCGAGATTCTGTAATGTTCGGGGAAGGGAGACATAAGGGGCCAGAATCCGTCGAGATTCTGTAAGGGTCTGGGGAATATGAAATCTGATATGTGATATGTTATCTGAAATATGATGTTTGATATCTGAGATCTATTATGTGACTTATTTGATCTGTTTTATGAAGCATCCGATATATGTACGATTCTGGTTATTCCGTACGATTCTGTCTTCTTTGTGACTTGAAAGCTTTATGATATTTGTTCTGAACGCCGATTTGACATGACTTCAGTTTTCTGTATTTGTTGTGGCTTTATGATTGAATAAGCATCCGTTCTATGATTTTCGTACGGCTATTTCTGATGTGAGTTTTCTGACGATTTGGATTGGTGATTGATGTCTTGCTGAGCTGTTAGCTCATCCTTGTTTTCTACGTGGTTTTCAGGTTCTGGGAAAGGGAAGGAAGTCGTGGATTAGCTGTCCAGAGTCTGATCTGTGATTAGGTATTTTGTACTTTTGATTTTTGTTACAGTCGTGACTTATCTGTTATGTTCTGTTCTGTTCTTTCTGTCTGTAAGCCATGCACTGTATCTGTATATAATTATTTTGGTGAAAGAAAAGATAGATGAACTGCGCGGTATTTGGATGTTTATAGTAGCTCTGTGTTTTTCTGTCTGTGTTATATTTGGAAGAAAGTTCTGAAGAAAATTTCAAAGCCAGATCCTGGATTTTAATTGGCTCCGTCGCGGCCCGATGCGAGCGGGATCCGTCCCGGTCGGGTTGGGTCGTGACACTTGGTCACAAAAAAGAAACAAAATAAAAACTAAACTAAGTCTCCACAACATATACTAAATACTTCTTTTGTCTCATAAAAACATAACGTACCACTTTAAATAGAAAAACACAACATAACTTTTGTAAAACAAAACATTAATTTGATAACTTGAAATAAAAGGACAAACAACACTTTATAAAAACTTTTAAATATAACATGACATTACAAACTTATATAATAAAACACATGAAGTTGCTTGTCAATTCATCGAGAAGAAGGATACAAGTGGCGTCGAACTTGCGGAGAGAAGAAATAGGTAAGAAGCCGAGACGAAGGAGGACAAGATCGCAAGCTTTCCCAAGAAGGAAGAAGAAGAATGGAACAAGCTCGCAAGCTTTTCCAAAGAAGAAAAACCCTCAGGTTTTTGCTTTCCAAAAATTCATCATAAGCTCTCTTTTTCTATTACAAAACATCATATATTTATAAGGGAAATGGGGCAACCAAACAACCCAAAATATCGCCATTTAAATCAATTAAAATAGTGAAAATGGAAGGCCAAGGGGCTGTCCAGAAACAACGCCTAAAGAACCACACAAGAAATCGGAAAGACAGCCACAGGAAGACAGGAACGGGCAGCTCAGAGGACCGAAGCCAGAGGACAGAAAAAGGAACCCAAAAGGGGGGGGGGGGGGAACGGTCACCACAGGGAATCGGGTCAGGCAACCAAGGGGGAAGGAACGGGCTTCACAGGAGAACCGGGACATTCAGCCAAAGGGAACGGAACAGGCAGCCAAAGGAGGAAGGAATCATCCACGAGGAGGGGAGCCAAGTGGGGAAACCAAAGGGCCAATAGAGAGGGGGGAATGAACCTAATTAATCTCTAATTTATGAACTTAAAAGGCACTCTACTAGACATTAATGAGCTGATTTTAGTAGAGGTCATAGCAGCTTACTAAAAATACAAGGAAAAATGATTTGACCCCCCCTGGCTACATTAAGTTATAACTATTAAGATCCACGCCAAGTTAGCAAATAAATGCACTGATTCAGACGGTTATTGTGCCACATAATTCAACATCGCAGTGGAACCAACACTCCAGCATCGAGACATTAGTTCACTTTTGACCATCGTGGCGCCAACGTATCTAGCATTGTAAAGCCCAAACAAGATATTGTACTTATTATAAATAGAAGTCAATTCTTTTCTGTATTGAGTCCAGTTCACAGAGTATAATTTTTAGTGTATTTGCTCAGTTCCCCCTTAGAATAAAATCTAAGGAAGGCTAGAGAAGTATAAGATATAATCTTTTAGAGTGACTAGTCTGTGTTTTTCTAAGCAACTCTATAAGTGGAGGAAGGAGTATAGAGAAGATACTTAGATCCATCTTGACGGTGAACTTATTACTACTCTTGTATTTTGTTCTTCTATGAATATAGTAAATATATAATTTTGCTTGTTATTTATTTCATGCATGGTTAGATCTTCTATTTTGGGTTAATGATGTAAAAAATATAATGATTACTAATGTAAACTCTTATTCTTGAATAATTATAGTGGTGTTTTCTATCTCTCATTCTTTATTTAATATATGCTAAGGTCATATGTGTAATTAAAACCCAGTGTGATGGATAGCCTCAACGAAGGAATGCAAGAATAAATAGGAATATTGAAATGGAATGTTGGTATGCCTAGACATAGGATATTGAATATTCTAGGTTTTATGGAGATAGTAAAACTGTAGGAAGACTAACAATCTTTCTTTTCACATCTACATTTTAATAAAGATCTAGGGATGCATATCTTTTGATCCATATATATAATTAAGAGGTTTATTAAAAAATTATATTATTTTACATACATCAGACTAAAATATTTTTATCAAAATTATATTAACTTTTTTTACTTATTTTCATTGTGGTTGGAACTCAAAAACCTAATTTTATTTTTAGTAGGCCAAATTGTTGCATTCGGAGTAAGCAGTAGTAGTTTTGATTGCAATATAGTAAACCACTTCCTCATGGGTTCTACATTCTGCTCAATTACTTTATTACTTGATTTAGCATGTATACTTGCATAAATTAGTGGGTTATTTTTAAATTGCATATTAAAAAAAAAAACTTAAGCATATTTAAAATTTGGTGAATTTCATATTAGCTCCCAATTATCTTATTATCATATGCCCCTATCAAGTTTTTAGCGCTATTGTCGGGGTGGTTTTATGTGGTTTTATCCTTATTATAATTTACTATATTATTTAAACACATGCATATTTAGACCTACTTGTATCCCGTATTTTTATTTTATTTGTTAAAAATATTGAGAAAATCAAAAACATTTTTTTTCTTTGCTATTTGGTTTCTATTTTTAATTATTGTATCTTATTGTATGCTTGGTAAATTTAATATGAAGCTTTTATTATTTGATCCATAAATATAAATGACCTTGCAAAATTTAAAAGAAAAAAAGGCCTTGTCAGGCGTAGTTCAAGATCAAGATTATGCTAGACCTCTTAGAGAGTATGATAACCAGGTAGTAGAAGGAATTCATCAAAGTATTAATAAACTTATTATCCATGCTAATAATTTTGAGTTAAAACGTATTAATAAACTTATTATCCATGCTAATAATTTTTAGTTAAAACCAGTTATTATTCAAATGGTTCAAAATTTTCAATTTGGAGGAACTCCTATTGAAGATCCTAACTTACATTTAGCTATTTTCTAAAAAAATTGTGCAATTTTTAAGTACAATAATGTTAGTAATGATGTTATTAAACTTAAATTGTTACCATTTTTTTTCTAAGAGATAAGGCTAAAATATGGTTAAATTATATACCCTCGGGCTCTATAACCAATTGAAATGAGTTGACACCTAAATTTCTAGCAAAATATTTTTAACCTTCAAAAATTTCTAAGCTTAGAAATAACATCTCTTCTTTTGCCCAATTTGAAGGAGAATCCTTTTATAAAAGTTGGGAGAGATTTAAGGCAATGCTTACGAAATATCCTCATTATGTTTTATCTAATTGGTTGGTTATTCAAACATTTTGTAATGTATTAGTAGGGTCTCTTAAATCAATCATAGATGTTGTAGCTGGAAGAACATTAATATCTAAGTCATTTGAGGATGCGTCTGAATTGATTGAGGAAATAACTACTAATAATTTTTAGTGGTCTGCTAATAGGATTAATCTGATGCTTTATCAAATCTTAGTACTCATGTAGCTGCTATTTCAAATAAATTAGATACTTTTGGAGTTACTATAAGATCAGGCTCATTAATATAATTAAAAGAGATTCATTTAAATTCTGATAAGGATATTAGTTTTATAGGGATTGGAAATGTGAATTTAATTGGAATACAAATAATGCCTATTTGATTACATATAATTTAGGTTGGAGAAACAACCATAATTTTAATTGGTCAAATAATATTTGGGAAAATAATCAATGGAATTCAGGTCAATCTAATCAAAGAGGAAATTGAAATAATCCTCACCAACCTGTTGTGAATCCTAGACCTTTTTACCCTCCAGAATTTATTCAAAATAATCAGTAAAGAAATAGAAATTCAACTTTGGAAGAGGTAGTGATTCAATTGAGAAGTCAATTCTAAAGTCAAGTTTTTCAATTAAAATTTTGGAAACTCAATTAGAACAACATACAATTTCTTTCAGTAGCACCCTTCCAAGTAATATTGAAATTAACCACAAATATAAAGATAAAGGGTCCAATGAAAACCACTTGAGGATTGGTGGTGATATACCCCAACCAAATTGATAAATATAGGAAAATCTGGCTAAAGATGATAAACTTAGCATTATTTGGGAGGTAACCCATCTTTGTGTTTATCTGTTCTTGTAATTTGTTATAGTTTAGTGTTTTAGATATCATGTCTTGTTGTTATTAATGTTTTGCATTATTTGTATGTTTATATTTAATTTTGATCAAAGTTATGATTATAATCTCAAGAAAATTTAGGTGCTGAAATCTGAACTAGCGCCGCAGTGCTAGGTATTGAAGCGCCTCAGGCTTATCATGGTAAGTGTTGTGGCATTCAAAACTGGCACCTTAGCGCTTAACTCTCGGGAAAAATATTTATTTGAACATCGCAGTGCAACACTTACCTAGATAGCGCCTTGACACTATAGCTTCAAGAGATGCAGCGTCAAGTCTGAAAAAACAAAAGGTAGCTCTGCTAGTTCAAAATGTAACTATACCATCCTAACTTTACCATTATGAAACTTTGGCGAGCGCCTCCACACTATTTCCAACACCGTGATGTTAGGTCAAAATCATTATTGTTTCAAATATAGCTTTGCGGCGTTAGTCTTTTTTAAATGCTGCAATGATTATACGTTTCAAAACTGTCGCGGATACCCATGCTTAAAGCGACGTTGCGTTTTCCAAAGTCAAGCACCATTGTGCCATGTGTCCTGCCCTGTTGCAGCGTCTGTCAGTTTGACCCATTTATATTTTTGTGTATTTTTAGTGCTGCTTTGCTGATCCCCGCAACACCATAATGTAGTTTATAAATAGAAACCATGGTTTTCATTATTTTTTCTATTTCATCTCTGACTCTCTTGCTCTTAAGTTCTAGTAGCCTCATTCTTCTTATTGCAATGGTCCCCAAAATATCCGATAAGAATCAATCCCCTGCATCTTATGATAAGTATAAATTCATTTCTCCTGAGGCTGACAGAAGGTTTATCGAGTTTGTTCTATCCAAACAACTTATCCCTGACCGTAGTCTTCCTGTCATGCGAACTATTATAAGCCGTGGATTGGAGCAATTCTGTGAAGAGTTTTATGCTGCAATAGTGAATGTTGTGAGGGAGTTTTTTTGCAAATGTGAAGTAGTATATTAAAAAAGTGTTATATGAGAGGTAAGTCAGTACCCCTTTAATTCTACTGTCACTAATTGCCTGTATAATTAAAGGATTTTGAGTATAATAAGTATACTATTGTTCTGGGACTCCTATAGATACTGATGAAATTTTGAGTGTTGTGTGGTTCTAATAGTGGAGCCACTTGGAAGAGAAGGGAGAATAAAATCTTTAACTTCGAATCTTCTATTCTTACTCAAACATCTAAAGTTTAGCACTATTTTATTTATGCCCTCTTTTTACCTAGCAGGAACGTTAGTGAAGTCACCCAGGAGGGTGCTATGTTGAACTATACCATTCAAGTTGGGTGCTCTATTGATGTAGGAAAATTAATTTATTCATCTGTAACCTATATCAATAGATTGCTATTTATATAAATTTGGCACACCCCTCACCTGCTTATTTTTTATTTGTTAATGTTGGTATTAGGGGAGATCAAACTGAGGAGTAGTGTTTACCTATTTTTGCTTTGATGAAAAGAAAATTTTAAGTTTTAAGCAAGCAAAGGGAGGTGATGATAAGGGAGTGAATAATATGTAATGACTATATATATATATATTGTTCATAGCCTGGTGCCGCAACACTTACCAGATGTTCTGAAACGACTAGTAGTAGGAGTCCTGCGACACTTAAGACTTTAGGTGAGCATGTTGGTGATTTAGAGCTTAATGGATGGAGTTATTCATTTTTATGAGGACTCTAAGGACTAGCAGTTTGAAATGAAAATGAGGATGGCCCACACTATAGATCAGTAGAAGAAGAATAATTGATATATATATATATATATATTATTTTACTGAAGCTCATGTAGGGATGTTCACGAGCAACTCATTTATGGAGCACCAAGACCAGCTTCAGTTTTCTTTTGCACCTATTTATGCGCCCTTTGTTTGGCAGCCTCGAGGGGAAGGCCATGCTGAAGACGATGATGAGGAAGAATCAGACTCTAATGGTCAAAAGTTTTTTGCATTTCTTGCCTTGTGAGAGAGAATGTGTGTTAAAAAGTTATTATTTTGTTACTTTATGTTGCAATATATTTTTCTTTATTTATTTTTTCATTTCTTTGCCTTAGGAGAGAGCCCAGTTGTGGTGACATCTAGTATTGGTGATGGCCGTGAGGGCCAATATCATTTATGTTGGGAATGGAGCCTTAATCCAGAAGTCAATCTTATATTTTTATAGATAATGGATAAATTCAAATTTAAATAATAATAAAAAGGATAGATTGGGATAAATGTTATAACTTTTTTTCAAATATAAATTATAACTTATTCAATCCAAATTGCTTCTAAATAGAGATGTTTTATCCTTTATTTCAACAATTTTAAATTATAAAATTTTACTTTGACTATTAAGGTAATCAGGTAGTAAATGAAAGTGGTTCTTGAGGACAAGCAAGAATTTAAGCTAGGGGGCATTTGATAAGTATAAATTGTGTATTATTTTTGTTATGTTAAATACAATAAAAATGTGTTATTTTACTTGTATTTGTATAAGAATTGTGTAATTAAGTACTTTTTTAGTGTATTTGCTTAGTGCCCCCTTAGTAAAATTTAATAGAGTCTAGGTAAGTATAAGATACAATCTGAATAACAATTACAGAGAAAGCTATTACTTTTATTTTTATATTTTTTTAATCTGCAATGCTTATCTTGCCTCGTGATATTTATCGAGTTACTTTTATACTTCTAATGCTTAAAAAATTAATTTATCATAAATTCATTTACTTAACTTGAATAGTGGAAGATTGTATTAAGAGGGAGCAACACCTCATTTTGTTTTATTATTTCTTATAATTTTATTGCCTTTAAACTATAAGTTGAAATGTTATTGATGGGGACATCGGAGCTTGGAAAGTTTATCAGAGACGTGGCCGTCGATCTACGACCAAGATTGAGTCGATGTATTTTTGAGTCGTATTATGTTTTTTATGTTGTATTTGTTTGGTTATTTTATGTTGTATTTTTTTTTGTTATTTTTGAGTTGTACTATGTATTAGTCGTACCCCTGGAGCCTCCCTCCCTAACTTGCCACACTATCGTATGAACCATACGGAACATGCTAAACTTAAGAAGCATGTGGATGAGTTACTGTAGCGAGGTTTCATTAAAGAGAGTCTTAGTCCCTGCGCGGTGCCAGCCCTTCTTACTCCTAAGAAGGATGGATCTTGGCGAATGTGTGTCGATAGTTGTGCTATCAACAAAATCACCGTCAAATATTGTTTCCCTATTCCGAGGCTAGACAATATGCTTGATATGATGACTGACGTCACTCTATTCTACAAGATCGATCTCAAAAGTGGATACCACCAAATCAGGATCCGACCCGGAGATGAGTGGAAAATTGCCTTCAAGACCAAGGATGGTCTCTACGAGTGGTTAGTCATGCCTTTCAGGTTAAGTAACGCCCTGAGTACTTTCATGAGGATCATGACACAAGTGTTGCGCCCTTTTATGGGAAAGTTTGTCGTCGTCTACTTTGACGACATTTTTATTTATAGTCAGTCGGTGAGTCAGCACTTGGATCACTTAAGGAAAGTTTGTGAGGTCTTAAGGAAGGAACGACTTTATGCCAATCCTAAGAAATGTACTTTCCTTGTAGATCGTGTTATCTTTTTGGGCTTTATTGTGTCAGCCCATGGGGTCTCTGTAGATCCCGAGAAGGTGAGGGCCATTGTAGAATGACATGTTCCTCAGAACATCCGAAGAGTCCGCAATTTTCACGGATTAGCCACGTACTATAGGAGATTTATCCAACATTTCAGCACCATTGTATCTCCTATCACCGGTCGTCTGAAGAATGGTGATTTCCACTAGACCCTGGCTGCTACCAGAGCTTTTGATGAGATTAAGAAAAGAATGGTGGAAGGCCCAATGTTGAGACTTCCTGATTTCTCCAAAGTCTTCAAAGTGACCTGCGACGCTTCGGGAGTCGGAATTGGAGAAGTTCTATCTCAGGAAGGTCACCCGGTAGCTTCCTTCAGTGAAAAGCTAAATGATATTCGGCAACGATATTCCACGCATGACAAAGAGTTTTAGGCAGTGATCCAATCTCTTTGTTATTGGCGACACTACTTGCTCCCGTAAGAGTTTGTCATTTTCTTGGATCAAAAGGCTCTACGTTTTATCCATGGT